GCGGACTCCCCACTGAGCACAGAGCCTGAGGAGGGGCTCCATCCCAGGACCCTGAGATCATGACCTGAGCTGAAGTAAGAGTCTGACGCTTAACTGACTGAGCTACCCAGGCACCGCAGTTACTCTTCATTTTTATAATGCTAGGAGCCCTGGGTGAAGTGAGGGTATATGTAAAACCAGTGACTGCTTATTGATGCCCAGAAATTTTTGATTTTGATGTAGTCCAATTTATCTGTTTTTCTTTGTTGCCTGTCCTTTGATTGTATCTAAGAAATCATTGTCAAGTTTAGTGACATGAAAGTTTCCCTGTATGTTTTCTTCTAAGAGTTTTATAGTTTTAGGTCTGGGTCTTTGATTCATTTTGCATTAGTATTTGCATATGCTATAAAGTAAGGGACCGTCTTCATTTGCGTGTGGATATCTAATTTTCCCAGGCCCATTTGTTGAAAAGACTGTCCTTTCCTGTTGAATAGTTTTGTCAAAAATCATTTGACCATCTATGTAAGGGTTTATATGTGGGCTCTCCACTTTATCCCATTGGTCTATATGTCTGTCTTTATGCCAGTATTCTACTGTTACGATTACTATAGGTTTGTAGTAAGTTTTGAAATTAGGAAGTGTGACACCTCCAACTTTTTCAAGATTGTTTTCATTGGACCGTTTGAGGTCTCTTGTTTGTGATCTTAGAAAGTTTTCAGTCTTTCATTATCACACCAAAAAGTGGGCTTTTGTATATGGCCTTTACTATGTTGAGGTAGTTTTCTTCTTTTTCTTCTATTCCTAGTTTGTTGAGTGTTTTTATTGTGAATTTTATTTATTGGATTATGACAGACTTTTTCTGTATCAGTTGGGATGATCATGTGTTTTTTTCCTTCATTCTGGTAATGTGTATTACACTGATTGATATTTGTATGTATAAACATCCTTGCATTCCAATAAATCTTGGTCATGGTGTATAATCCTTTAAATGTACCGTTGAATTCTGTTTGCTGCTTTTTTGTTGAGGATTTTTGCATCAGTATGCATCAGGGATATTGGTGTATAGTTTTCTAGTAGTGTCTTTGTCTGGCTTTGGTATCGGGGTAATAATGCTGGCCTCATAAAAAAAATTGGATATATTCATTCTTTAGTTTTTTTGAAGAATTTGAGGAGGATTGGTGTCAATTCTTGAAATGTTTCATAGAATTCACCAACGAAGCTGTCGTCTCCCAACTGTTTCTTTGTCAGGAGTAAATAAATACGGTTTTGCATCACCTTTTAAAATTATTTATAGGAGTGCCTGGGTGGCTCAGTCGTTAAGCATCTGCCTTCGACTCAGGTCATGATCCCAAGGGTCCTGGGATCGAGCCCCCCATCGGGCTCCCTGCTCGGTGGGGAGCCTGCTTCTCCTCTCCCACGCCCCTTGCTTGTGTTCCCTCTCTCGCTGTGTCTCTCTGTCAAATAAATAAAACCTTAAGGGGCGCCTGGGTGGCTCAGTCGTTGAGCGTCTGCCTTCAGCTCAGGTCATGATCCCAGGGGTCCTGGGATCGAGCTCCGCATCGGGCTCCCTGCTTGGTGGGGTGCCTGCTTCTCCCTCTCCCACACCCCCTGCTTGTGTTCCTGCACTCCTTCTCTCTCTCTCTTTCTCTCTATCAAATAAATAAATAAAATCTTAAAAAAAAAACCTTAAAAAAATAAAAAATGAAAGATTTCATTTATTTATTTTTGACAGAGAGACAGAGAGACAGTGAGAGCAGGAACACAAGCAGGGGGCGTGGGAGAGGGAGAAGCAGGCTCCCCACCGAGCAGGGAGCCCGATGCGGGGCTCGATCCCAGGACCCCTGGGGATCATGACCTGAGCCGAAGGCAGACGCTCAATGACTGAGCCACCCAGGCGTCCCAATAAATAAAATCTTTTAAAAAATAAAATTATTTATATAACCCCGTTCAAATTTCACCACTTGTCCTGCAAAAAAAAATTTTTTTTTCTTTTTTGGTTCAGGAACCAATCCAAGATCATTGATTGCATTTAGTTTTCATGTCTCTTTAGTCTGCATCTATCTGAAAGAGTTACTCTGTCTTTCATGATGTTACCAGTTGAAAGAGTACACACATTTATTTTGCAAGCTGTCCTTTGACCTGCTTCTATTCTAGATGTCCTCATGTTTTCGATTCTGGTCATACATTCTTGTAAGGAATACCTCAGAAATGATCACTGTACTTCTCACTGTATATCAGGAGGCACAGGATGTTGACTTATTTCACCACCCTAACAAGTTGGCGTGTGATCATTGATATTGTGAGAGCAGAGCAGGGATGCTGTCATCACTTTAGAATTCATATATTTATCATAGTCTGACTGTCAGTGGTATTACGTTAATTCTTGTACAATGTAAGAACTTACAACAGATATTTCCATTTCCTTGTTCTTCTTTTGGGCCATTCTTGGCATACTTTTTACCTGTGTGTTAGACCATAGACCATTTTTTTTAAAAAGTCTTCTTTTAATTTGTTTTTATGGTTCAATTTTCATAACAAACTTCCTCAGCTTTTGTGCTAACAAAAGTAAACTTCTGTCCCTTTTTCTCAACTAAAAGAAATTCAGTGAGTAGTTTCCAAGTAGTAAGATTTGGCAATATTTAAAGATTTTTCATATTTGAAAATAATTTTCTCATAGATGTTAGACTTTTATACTTTGAAATTGAAAAGTATGTTTTTGGGTCTTTGAGTTAGGTTCTTTATTTTTAATTTTTTATGGCATTTATGTGAAAGATTTTTCCTTTTTCTTTTTTTTCTCTCCAGAAACACATTTTCATCCTGTGGGTTTCATCTTAGCTCAAACATCATGTCTAGTTCTAATGGTGCCAAAGAGAATTCCCACAAGGCGGCTCGGACATCTCCTTACCCAGGTTCAAAAGTCCAACGCAGCCAGGTTCCTAATGAGAAAGTAGGCTGGTTTGTTGAGTGGCAAGACTATAATCCTGTGGAATACACTGCAGTCTCTGTCTTGGCAGGACCAAGGTGGGCAGATCCTCAGATCAGGTGAGCAAATTAGCTGGCATTAGCCGGTAGCTGAGTGTAGGATGGTGACAAGAATGGTTGTATTTGTAAATTACCATTTTGACAGCTGAAAAATTATTTTTATCTAGTGTTTGACTTTGTCAGAACTCAGTTTCCACATTGGCTTGAATTCTTGCCAAAGCTAGACCATCCATGTTTGCTTGTTCTTTTGGGGGTTTTATGATGATCCTTCCAAACAAGTAAATCTGTTTTACTGTGGAGTTTTATAGAATGGCAAGTGGTGATATCTATTTTCATTTGTTCTGTTTAGGTCATCAGTAGAACACCTTTTGTGATTATTTTCCACCATTGCTAGACTTGTATTTGAAGTAGTGAAAATATTTTTCAGAATTTTTTCAGATTACTAAGAACAGGAGGATGATAAAATTAGAGCAGTGGGAAAAAAATGGAAAAGGTATAGATAAAGGAGAGAAAAGAAAACAAACACTCAAGCAAAAATCCTTTGACTAAATCCATAGAAATACATCAATTCACATTTTATATTTATGTTCCTTTTAATGAATATAGTGATAGAGTTTTTTAATGTACTAACTACAAACTAGGTGTTGTACTAAGTGTTTTATAAGCATTATTTTATTCTTATAACTATTCTGGAAGACAGATGGGGTTCTTATTTCTACTTGATAGAAAAAACACACAAAAAATGGAAGCACAGAAAGGTTGCCCTTTACCTCTGGTCACAGAGCCAATAGATGGTGAAGCTTGGACTTGAACTCAATCTGGCTCCTATACTTCATGCTCTTAACCACTCTACTAAACTGCTCCGTGGTTTTAGAACAGTTTTATAAGTTTGATTTAATGGGCCAGTTTATTATAAATGCTTTCCAAGGGATTATTTAGTCAGGTAAGTAAAAAATGTTGCTAGTTAGATCCGGTATTAGTTCATTAGGTTAAACTTTACCGTGGTCTTATGCTGTGACTTGATTTTGACCTACAGTTGTCTTATTTTATCTGATAGTACTTGAACTTTTATTTCTTATTTTTTTGTGATAGTACTTGGATTATTAATTAATCATGAGGCTGACCTGTGGAGAAATTAGTAGCTTCAGTGAATTCTACTTCCCCTCATTTTAGAGTATTTTATGTATACATGATAGACAATTAAAATTAATGGTGTTGGCAAGGGTGCTATATAGTGTAAACAGAGGAACATTTTCTTATTTTTCATTCAGTTTATTTTTTAAGAGTTGGATTTATATCACCATCTAAGTCAAGCTTTCTTACTAACATTAATATTTCAGTTATGGTTAGGTTCATGCTTTTTTTCCCCATTGGTGAATTTCTAGAGTCCCA